AATGAAAAAGTTCTAAAATTGATAACTGATGGCTGTACAAGTCTGAGAATATACTAAAATCATTACAATTGACATTTTCCTTTTAAAAATTGTGATTTGAGTATAAGTTTATAAAGAAATTTGATTTTTCCACTCAACCATCCACATTTTGTTTGATAACATTAACGACAAGAGCCACAATGCAACTGCATTTTCCCCATTTCCTTCCTGTAACTCTCATTTCCTTCTATCCTCCTTCCTCCACCCTTAAGGTAAATATTACTCTTTTGAGATTATATGGTTGGCTAGGCGAAGATGTAAGTGCCTGCCTAGTTAGTTACTGGTCACCGTATTCACCTGTGTATTGTCTGTCTGAGTTAAAGTTGAACCATCAACATGAGTTTTGTTTCAGGCTGGAGGAGTGGCTAAGAGCCACTGTCTGGGGCATTCCACCAATCTCTACTGGCCCAGTAAAACTGGCCTTTTTCATGTTTTTGAGTTGTGTCTCACATTTCTGCCAATAAAATTTACATTCTAAGTGGGCGAATACCACAGCATACGAATCAAACATAAAAGTACAGCTGTTGAAAATGATTGTAATATGCTGCTGTAATATGCAGAACAAATTATCCAGGAGGCTGGGCTGTATGAGAAATGTGGCATCAGGGTTGGAGGAAGATTCATCAACAATCTGCGTGATACAGATAACATAACCCTGCTTGCTGAAACTGAGGAGGACCTGAAGCGCTTGCTGCAGAGGGTCAAGGACTGTACTCTTCCATATAGATTGAGGCTCAATATCAAGAAAACAAGGATTCTCACCATTGGGCCAAAGGACAGCATCAGGATGGATGGTGAAGAGATTGAGATTGTTAACAGCTTTAGTTCGCTTGGCACGAGCAGTCAGGAAATCAGAAGACGTATTGCGATGGGAACGTCTGCTGTGAGAGACCTCTCCAAAGTGCTGAAGAGCAATGATGCCACTCTGGAGACTCATACAGGCCATGGTCTTTGCAATCACTTGCTAAGAATCAGGGAGCTGGACAATGACTAGGGAGGACAGAAGGAGAATTGAGGCCTCTGAGCTGTGGTGTTGGAGAGGCGTATTGAATTTACCATGGCCTGCTAAGAAAACGCATAGGCTCTTCCTGGAGGTTGCTCCTTGGAGGCAAGGATTCTGAAACTTCACCTGACATACTCTAGACATGTTGCAAGTAGGGATCAATCCCTGGAGAAGGATGCCATGTTTGAGAGGGTGAAGGGACAGCACAGTAGAGGAAGACCCTCTGTGAGGTAGATTGATTCCATGACTGGGGAAGTCAGGGTAGGTGTGTCAGAGACGATGTGATTGGCACAGGATAGAGCAGGGTTTAGGGCTGTTGTACATAGGTTCGCTATGAGTTGCAGGTGACTCGGTGCCACATAACAACAACAAACATTTAATAGTTAGCATGCTAAAATTAAAACTGAGACAGTTTAAAAATATTTATTTACTCATTAAAAAACTCCAGTAACAAACTCATCACCTGGTAACATAAATAACATTTCTTTTAAATAAAAAAAGAAATAGTTCCAGAAAGAAACCAAAAAATTTCACAGCATTTTTTTTCCAATAGAAGATGGCTAGAGTTTCACATCTGCACCTGCATTCGGTCAGGTGGAATATTATGCATTGTGCATTCTCTGGAAAACTCCACTGTTCTTCATGAGAATTTAAATGAAAAAGGCAAATGACAGTATTATTATAAAAATCATTTTTATCCTGCAGACATCATGAATGATTATCAGGTCTCCCTTACTGGTCTACACTTCGAGAACTGCTGATCTAAAGTTACATAAGCTAACCTGAGTTATTTGAAAATGCTCTGTTGTGTGGAAAAACCTAGTTACGAGAGTAGGAACATAAAATGGTGAAAAGTCTGTGAAGAGTGGTCTGGCGCTTTCTCAAAAAGTTGGAAATAGGCATACAATTTGACCCAGCAATTTCACTACTGGGAATATACCCTAAAGAAACTAGAGCCAAGACTCAAATATGTATGCATATCTATGTTTATTGCTATATTATTCACAATAGCAAAGAGATGAAAGCAACCCAAGTGGCCATCAAGAAATTAATGGATAGAAAAATTACACATTGGAATATTATTCAGAATTGAAAAACAATAACTGTGTAAAACACTAAACAATATGGGTGACTCTGGAAGACATTATTCTGAGTGAACTATTTCAGTCACAAAAGGATAAATACTACTATAACATTGTTATAAAATATGACTGACATGGGTGTTTGGGGAGAGAATAGGAAAAAAGTGGATAGAAAATGAACACTAAATTAGAACAGATAAGGGGAAGAAGTGACTGAAAGGAATGTCTCTTTAGGCATTTTTTTTTTAAATTTAGGTTGTTTATTTTTCATTTCAATGAACATCTACAGAGATTTTGGGATTCCATTCGTTCACTGTTGCACCCTTCTCCCCGCACATTTGCTCCTCTCCTTGAAAAGCAAAAGAAAAACTCCCTCATTGGTACACAATCCCCCCGCACACCTCCCCAAACCCCACCCCTAGCCCCAAATATAATCCATTCCGCAACCCTCATTGCATACTTCTACGATAAAAATAATGCCCTAAAATATAATACTTTTAGACTATTCCCTTCCCCATAGACTTCAATGCCGTAAACATATTTCATCCAGTTTTTCTTAGTCTTACCCCCACCCCAATGCCAGCCTCATTCTACAACAGTGGCACCATATAGCATTTGTCCCTTTGTGACTGAGATACCTCACTCAGCATAATGTCCT